AGAGGAGGGCAACCAAACTTGTTAAGGGGTTCGAGGACCTGAACTATGAAACAAGGCTGTTAAAATTAAATATGTTCTCGTTGGAGGTTAGGAGATTAAGGGGGGACATGCTATTCCTGTATAAACTGTGCAGTGGTGACAGCAACACTGTTCACAAACTGTTAACGGTTAGCTCCGTAACAAAGACCAAAGGCCACCAACAAAAATTGGTGGAAAAAAAATTTCAACACAAAGGGCGCAAGGGGTTCTTCACAGTTAGAGTGGTTAAGGTCTGTACCTCGCTGCCGCAGGAAGTGATCTCAGCTAAGAGTGTGGAAGCATTCAAGAGACTCCTGGACGAGTTCCTCGGAGAGCATAATATACAGGGGTACAGGTACTGCTAAGAACAAGATCACCCATGGACTCATATACACGCACACACCTGCTCAAACATAAATGCATACACACAATAGGTTGGACTTGATGGACTTATGTCTTTATTCAACCTCAAGTACTATGTAACTATGTAACCCCATTCACAGGTGACTTGGGTTAAAATGCTTGTTTGGTTAGGGGTTAAGAAATACATTGAAATATTTAACTTTTTTACTTGCTGCCACAGTGCTATGTGGGAAATTCTCCCTGCCATGTTTACATGATCAGTGTTGTAATAGTAAAAAAATGCTGAAAAAAAGCAGAGGACCAGGCACAAGAAGGACAAATTATATTTTTAGTGTTTTCTGTACATAAACTATGCACAAAATGCACTCAATGCTGCTAAATATGCCATGGTTACAAAAAGGCATTGTTAGAAAATCAGATAATTGATAAAACATTATAAAATAAATAAAAATTATGAAAAAATATGTAAAAAAACCCAATAAAAATTATAAAAGTAAAAGATAGTAAGATTAAAAAAAGTAACAAATAATAAAAACATTTTAACAAATAAAAAAATAAGATAAATAAATTATAAAAAGTAAAAGCTAATAAGATAAATAAAAATCTAAAAAAGTAAAAAAATGTAGATTAGAAAAACAAAAAAGAAAAAAAATTAGAGGTGCACCAAAAAGGAAATTTCAAAACCGAAACAAAACAGAAATTAAAAATATAATGTTAGGCCGAAACCAAAACTAAAAATGTTTTTTTTCTAACCTTTTTAAAAAATGTTTGAAGCAGCAATCGGAGGGCACGCTGTGTAGGCAAAAATCCTTGCACCTGCCCTGTATATCACCTTTCATTAAAAGCTTGAAAAAACTTACAGGGCCCTCTGTATGTTTAGAGTCCAAAATCTAATCATTGTAGACTCGTGGAATACAAATAGTTCCAAAGGTGTTACTTTCCTGTGTATGGATAATATATATATACACAGGGCTTGAAAAATTTGACGGTGTCTTACCAGTCAGTCAAACATTTCACCAGTCAGCATGACCGGACTACAGCCTTGCAATTTATGTTAAAAAATTTTGGGGAAAGATAGAGCTTTCTTTTGTGACCCCACGGGGGGTTATTTTTTTTTTACTATATAATGAAAAAAGTACCATAAATGTAAAAAAAAAAAAAAAAAAGTTTCCCTACGTTATGTTATAAAACATTTATTCTTACCCATATTTTTAGTAAAACATAAAATTCGGGATCACTTCGGGTAAATAGACACCAAACATGTCAAGCCTTAAAATTGCGTGCGCCCGCAAAATCGAAAAAACGCCCATAATGCTTTTGCTGCTCATCAGTTTAGTGTTATCAGTGATTAATGGCTCTAAAATTATTGCTCTCACTACGACGTTTGCGGCGATATGTAACATGTGCGGCACAATAGGCGCAATCGTCGTTTTCACACGTAGGCGCACCCGACGCATATCTGCGTGTGTATGTGGGGGGCGGGGAATTAAAATGTTTTCTTTTTTAATTGTTTTATGCTTCTTTATTATGATTCTTTAATTTTTGTATTACTTTTTTTTTGTACACACAACTTTATTGCTATTACATGGGGGGCTAAGAAGCCCCCTATGTGATAGCCAATTTACATGACAGGTCCTCTTTATTGAGACATCAGGGGTCTCCCAGACCCCTAATGTCACCTAGGGACACCTAGAGAAGCTGATGAAGCAGAGATCTGCTTCATCAGCTTCTCTAGCTGGAGCGTCTAGAGACGCTCCATCGCTTGACTGTAAAGCTCCCGGCAGGCCGTGTACAAAAAAGTATGTGGGGGGATGCTCAATGGGAACAATATGGACTCCATACTGTCCCCATTGAGCATCCCCCCCACATACCTTTTTTTACTATAATTTACGGGGCTTGAAAAATAACTTGTCCCCTCATCACGCCGGTGCCGGACAAGTAACAGCCCCCGCCGGTTTAAATAGTAACCAGGGCGCGCTGTGCAAGGGTTAATACATTTTTTAGTGTGGAGTACTATGGAGGCAGGAGGGTACACAGGCATCACACACAGTCACAGATACTACTATCAGTATATCACTCCCCTTCTTCTCCATCACTTCTGTACTGTATCTGTACTGTATCATGCAATGATGGAGAAGAAGGGAAGTGATATGCTGACAGTGCCACACAATATATGTATATATATATATATACACTATATTACCAAAAGTATTGTGACACCCCTCCAAATCATTGGATTCAGGTGTTCCGTGAAATTTCCTTGCTACTAAATATTCCACAGTCACCTGTTATTGGTATTATAACAAAGTGGAAGCAACTGCAACAGTTCCAGTGAAGGGAACTCTTAAGGCATCAGCATACCAAGACATTTTGGACAATTTCATGCTCCCAACTTTGTGGCAACAGTTTGGGGATGGCACCTTCCTGTTCCAATATGACTGCGCACCAGTGCATAAGGCAAGGTCCTTAAAGACATGGATGAGCGAGTTTGGGGTGGAGGAACTTGACTGGCCTGCACAGAGTCCTGACCTCAACCCGATAGAACCACTTTGGGATTAATTAGAGCGGAGACTGCGAGCCAAGCCTTCTCGTCCAGCATCAGTACTTGACCTCACAAATGCGCTTCTGGAAGGATGGTCAATCATTCTCATAGACACACTCCTAAACCTTTTGGACGCCTTCCCAGAGGAGTTGAAGCTGTTATAGCTGCAAAGGGTGGGCCAACTCAATATTGAACCCTACGGACTAAGACTGGGATGCCATTAAAGTTCACGTGCGTGTAAAGGCAGGCGTCCCAATACTTTTGGTAATATAGTGTACATCTAGTTGGACATTTTGGAGACATTGGGGTTGATTTACTAAAGGCAAATCGGCTGTTCACTTGGCAAGGGAATTTTCACTTTGCAGGGGAAGTTTCCTTTAGCTTGGTGAATGAGGTGATATTTCACTTTGCTAAGAATACCCAATCACGAGCAAGAAAAAAAAATTGTATTATTGCTTGCACATGAATGGATGATGGAAGTCAGCAGTGCTTCACCTCATTCACTAAACTAAGGGGAATCTTCCCTTGCAAAGTGCCCATTCACTTGCCAAGTGAACAGCCGATTTGCCTTTAGTGAATCAACCCCATCATTTCCAATCAGTTGTTAGATCTGCTGCATTCATTCTCTGCTGGCATACTTTTTAATAACAACATCTGATCTTTTTTTTCAGAATGAATATAATACTTACTTTGTGGGGGAAGTGTTCCTCAAAAAAAATTAGCAGATTTAAACTCTGGGACTTTATCATGTGGATGTAATAATTTTTGTCACAATATTTATTTATACAAATTACGGTTCAAAACACCCCTTTTCAATAAAATGCTTTATCACTACTTGTGCAATCCACAGTTTTCCACAATATCCATAAGAAACATTTTTTTTTATCCAGTATATAACTGAAAGAGAAAACAGGAATGATGCTTTTTCTTTGTTACAGTAAACAAAAGGAGATATATTTATAAAAATAATTGTGTTTTGTATGTGCATCTGTTAGATTGATTTTTCTTAGACCGATGATGGCACACCCTCGAAAGGATTATTTTGCATTATTTACATTTTTTGCTGGCCGCAAGTAGTCGTCTCTGACTATAAAAGGCAACATTACTAGTTTACCATAGCCAGACAACAAATGGAAGCCTCTTTTGCATCCATATACAGCATCCCAAGAGTGCTGGATATAGAGGCTGTATTATTAGACATTTTTGACAGGAGGAACTTAACATTCTAAGAATGAAGCACAACTTTTGGGAAAGGCTATATGTTTGGGGATCACTGATGTGTTGCTATAATCTATATACTGCACATACTGTATACTGTAAGCCAGAAAAGTTTTCGGTCTTAGAACTACTCAGTGATAGTATTGCTCATGAGCAACAAAAGATAAAAAGTACTCTGACTGCCTCTTCCAAGAGAACCTTGGAAGGTTTAAACTTTAAGAGTTTAAAGTTTGTGAAAACTCATCCAGTAGGCTATTCATTGCAATTTTACATAAAAGTCAAAACTGGAGTTGGATCTGTAATGTTCACAGAAACATCATACACATTCTTCACCCTTTTCTAGAAAAGCTGTGCTTTTTTTCTGCATGGGGATATCTTTTCCCCAAAAATATACTGAGGGGGAATTTATCAATACTAGAGCATACAGAATATGGAGCAGTAAGCCTTTGCAACCAATCCGCTTCTATCTTTCATTTTCAAAGCTAAACTGAACAAACTGAAGATAGAAACGTATCCGTTTCTATGGACAACTGCTCCAGATTCTCTCTGCTCCAGTTTTGATAAATTACCCCCGTACTGTTTTAAATAACACCACATACAGTCTATTATGAATCTTTACTGTATCTTTAAAATCCAATGTAATGAAGCAAACTATAGTGTTTGCAGAACCTATTATCTTATCTTAGACTTGGGATTTCTTGAACTTTGGTCGTTAATGACAGACTGGACTTTCTTTATCACTGTAGTTAGTGGTAATGCATGAATTATCTATCATGGTACAAAAATGCACTATATAAAGAACTGATACGTTTTGATCTGCCTCACAACCCTGTTTGGATTCACTTTAACAACAAACAACATGTGCTGCAATAAGAAATGCTGGCTAATAGTGGGATCAGTGGTTGGAGGACTGTTGGCTATCCTTGGAGGAGTCCTGTTTCCTGCGGGAGATTTAATAATTGAGGGTAAAATAAACACGGTACAGTATGCTTATTATTTCTTCCTATGCCATTACTTATTGATATAGCAACCATTGTACATTATTTAAATATTACCAGCTTGCTGTTAACTAATACCTGTAAATGCATGGAGCCTCTTATAACTATACGTGCTAACTTGGTTGTAGCTTGGGTTTACAATGTCATTTTTCTGAATTTTATGCCATAATTTATGCTGTGATAATTTAAAGCCTTTAAATAGCATCTGGTATTTTTTAAATGACCGCGTGCTTACTGCCTAATACATTACAAACTTTTTTTTTTAACTTTCTTTGAGTATCACATGAGAATTCTCTATAAATATTTTGTACTTTATGCAATACAGTTAATGCTATGTATGGAGGTAATACAGTATTATACTTTAAATCTTGTTATTATATAGTGTATTTAAAGAAAGTACAACCCACCACAACCTCCTAAAAAGCTATGGATTATTTCAATGTTACCAGAATATTTAACTTTGACAGACTTAATTACTTAAAAGGTATTATTTAGTCCGCTAATAGATATAAAATAATTATCACCTACTCACAGTAGTGGGAATAGTAGCAGCAGTAATAGAAGTAGCAGGAAATAGACGCAACAGTATTTCTAGTAGCAAAAGTGATAACACTAACAGAGGTGACAACAGAGAGCTAGAAATCCAGCTCAGTTTAACGCTTACCTTAGCTCATTCCTTCAAGTGATGTACCCCACTGTTTCTTTATATTATTATATAAACAGCTTACATGCACATGGGGTTGTTAACATAGAAGTGTCTGACAATAGTCATGCACAGTAAAGCTATTAATAAATAATTTAGAAAAATACAACACAATTTCTTGGAGTCTAAGTTTAGCCTTATGATGATGCACTCCATACATCCTTCAAAGCAGGTTGATATGAAACCTGTTTTGTTCTTCATTGGTATCATGTACAAATGACTGCAGTGCAACACAAGAGAGCACCAGGAAATATATGTACCAAGATGGGTATTTTATCCTTAACTGTACAGTGAATATAATGTTTTCTGTGGAATTATAATTTGAATATATTATATATAATAATAATAACCTTTATTAAAGGGTTATTAAAGTCAAAAGGTTCTCTGATTTGATGCTGATTAAACCATTCAAATGAAAGCTGCTTCTTGATATTTAAAAGTATTAGTTTCCTGCAGAATCAGCTGGTCCCTTGAGAACTGGCCCTGATATCCTGTTTTAGGGTGGCTCCTCTCCCCTGCAGGTTCCTATGAAGCCCCCTTGTGAGTGCTAGTAAACTGTGTCTCCACAAACACACAGACACAGCAAAGCCAGCTATTCTCCTCCTTCCTGCTCTCCCGTCCTGTCCCTTGTGATCTTGTACTGGACAGAAGTTCAGGGAAGCTGAGCTGAGGAAATTGGAGACAGCTGTTCGGAAACATGATGGCTGTAAGTGCTTGGGCAAAAATGTAAAGACATACTTTTGCTGGGCAATTTATATTTGATCTGGATTAAATATTGAAAAAGATTTGAGAGTTTAATACTACTTTAAAGCACACATGCGTTAATAATTATGCAATTTGTGTTCTAAAATGCTAACATGAATCTGTCTGTCTGTTTTGCGCCCAAAGTGACAGATTTGTGTGGCCACATAGTGACTGTTTGCTATTTGCAGATGTTATCTTCACTAAAAAAATGTGTGAATATTCACTTAATTTGTCCAGTCATGAAAAACTCATCTGCACATGATAGGCCATTCAAAGTGAACACAGATTTGCTTTTCACATATTTGGAAAATTGATGTAAATATTCACACAATTTCTTTAGTGAGGATTGTGAACCTCTTTAGTAAATCATCCTCAATATGTGAGGTAATTTAGCCTCTCATCTGTTCTTGAAATAAACAAAAGGTTTAGGAGAGCTTTTTAAATGCATCCAGATATCTGTCTATTCACAGGGAACATTTATTAAAGCAATGACACACTGAAAATAAATTGGCCCCTCATTTGCCTTTTAAAATAAAAGATGTGACAGATTACAAACTGCAAACAATAAGAACATTTTGATAAATGTCCAGCAGTGACTCATGAGCTACAGACAACTTTAATCTCCTTTTCAATTTGCTTTCCACAAGATGTGCACAGTCAGGACCAATCTTATCATATCAGAAGCTGTTTATTAGTTATAGTGGAACTTGGTAAGGGTTGGAATCTCTGTACATTTTTGACAGTGCCAGTTGTTACAGAAGCAGCAAGTGAAGGGGGATCCAAAATGTTACAGTTAGTCATTGGAGGTCATTGGAAATTTCTCAACTGCAATACCTGATCAACAAATAATGAACTGACCTTTGATGCTAAAAATTTCAAAAGTATAACAAATGTCAATGTGGGATCTGCAGGTAACACTCCCAACCGTTGGTGGCAAAGTGCATGCATCTGCAATCAGAAAGAGATTGAATCAATTTAACCTGCATGGGAGATGAGCCAGGAAAAAGCATTTTCTATTCAAAAAGAACATTAGAGCAAGAGTACATTTTGCCATTGCACATATAGGAAAAGTCCAGGCCTTTTGGAGCAATGTGATGTGGACTGATGAGTCAAATGTTTGCCCACAGTAATAGTAGACAGAGTTTGCCACAAAGGGATGACAGCATTTGAGGACAAGAACCTCAAACCAACTGTGAAGCAGGGAGCTGGAAATATTATGATTGAGGGTTGCTTTGCTGCTTCAGGGACAGAGCAGCTTGCAGTCATCAAGTCAGCTATGAATTCTGTATCACATCAAACTTTGCTTATATGAGCCCATCTGCCTAAAAGTTAATGTTGACCTAGAAATGTATCTTTCAACACTAACATGATCTGAAGCGCTAGAGCAAAGCCACCAAGGGATGGCTCAAACAAATAAAGCAGAGGGTTATGTATTAGCCTAGTCAAAGCACTTATTTGTATCTCATTAAAATGTTGTGTCAGGATTCATGTAAGGAAACCAAAACACAGTTTTGCATGCATGGGTGATTCAATGCCACAGACTGAGCAGTTATTCCACCCAAGGGCTATAATATGCATTTTAATATTTTTCCGTCCGCTGTGTTACCTGTGTTTTATATAAAAAAATAATTTGGTGATGATCCTAGCTGAAAACTCATCTTCATACGTTTAAATCCCTTAGCAGCATGGTTTGTTACACATAAGTCCCTAAATCTGGCCAAAAAAGGCAGAAAAGGTAAATTTCTGAATGATCAACCCCCAGAAAATGGATCATACTTCATTATGAAAGGATAATTCTACATTACAAATGTTAAAGTATAGTATATTGTATTTTTAAAAAGTCATTAGAAAAAAAACGTTTTAGTAACACAACACTTGTTTTTGTTGCTCTTTTTACATCAGCCAGCTTTACTGTTGCAGCTGCTCTGCCCAGCCTTTGGTACTGTTGGGTGAAACAGACTAGAAGGGACTAAAGCGGGGTATACATGCTTGAATTTCGCTGAATGGAATCAGCTGTTATCACCTCCCCCCAGCATCCCTCGATCTCAGCTGAATAGAGCTAGCAGCTACTAAGCTGCTAGCTCCATTCAGGTATGCTGACAGCAGCAGCGGGGGATTCATCTATCAATGCTCATAAGCATTGATGGAGGAATAATTTTTTTCAGCTCATGGGTTGAACAAAATAGAACCATGTACAGCTTTACAGAGAATAATAATTCAACACAGAGCACACTTCATTTTCTACAAAAACCTATTAGCGATGGTTGGGAGCACTGGGAACCAGGAGAGGAAACTCATGACCTGGGCATCATGGGCGAAATAGGTGTTGCACCAGTTAAATAGATTCTTATATCAGGGCTTTTTAGAAGATAATGGATTAGCCATTTAAATGCTGTTAACATTTGTTGAGGTATAATTATCCTATAAATATGTAGAGAGCTTTACAAAGGCAGTAAAGGACAGCCCAGACTATTCTCAGGCCAGTGAACCTAAAGCATTGGAGAATCAGCTAAAAACCAGTAAACTGTTTTTTCATCATGGTCATTCTTAAAACTTAGCTCCATTTATTTTTAGTTATTTAGTTTTGGATACAGTGGGGAAATGTTAACATGTCTGTTTATGACCTAGTCGAGAAGATTTTTCCTTAAACCGAGGATGTCGATGTCACTGTGACAGAAAAGCAGGATTATTTCTAAAAACAATTTCAGACATTTTATCCCTTCTTGACTTTACTAAAAATTTGTTTTTAATTTTAAGTCACTGTTGGAGAGTTTTTGAATGAATGTCTTTATCAGAAAAATACTATTTGCTTGTTTTTTTTTTCATTAGGAAGCGGTCATTGAGGATGGAACTATTGCTTATGAAAACTGGATCAAGCCTGGAAGTCCAGTCTATAGATATTTTTGGATTTTCCATGTAACAAATCCAGATGACGTTTTAGTAGGAGGGAAACCAAATTTAGAACAAAAAGGACCTTACGCATATTTGTAAGAATATATATATATTCTTGGGCAAACTGATGATGGGCTTTACATAACTACTGAAGGTTTTCATAAGAACAGGGTTGGCACTGTTCTTGTGCCAAATAAACAGACCCTTATTAGGCTAATTATTTGATAGTTTATTTACAAAAATAGTGAAAAAGTAAAATACAAAAAATAGTGACAGTACACACATAATAGTCAAAATACCTGAAAATCAACATATACAGAATACAAAGCACACTATATTAACTAAACAAATCACTGTAATAACAAATAGCAAAATACTTTTTTTTTCTGAAATCACTTTATGGATAACTAAAACTAGACATGTCAGGAATAGGAGTAAGATAACCCCACTACCTGATTGACAGCAGGCTCTGGCTCTCTAGAGGCAGATCAAGCTGTGCCTGCACCCTCCCCCTCTGTCCCTTCAGTCAGCACTGGAGGAATGGAGAGGGGAAGGGGGAAATCCCTGTGGGGTTCACCTCTCTCTGCAGGGAGAAGTCACCGCTCTCTGCAGGGCCAGGGAGAAGTTTGGGAAATGAGCTATCAGCAATATGTGATCACTCAGTTCCTGATCAATATAGCTGATGTGTGACAGGTTCAGTGTCACACAATGGCTCTTATTATGGGGAAGAGTGTATTTCACAATCCCCATAATTCTCCTTCAAACATGACTCCTTACTGCCATTGTCTATATAAATGGGGCAATCACATTGCCATGATGCAGACCCAATTAATAACACTAAAAGAATAACAAATAAATAAACACATCATAGTTAAATCTGCACAGCAGATCTGTTAGTGAATGTATTATCATAATTTATGGTGCACTCTGACCAACCATGAAATGTTACATTTTATGTAGACAGGGGACCTAGCCCAACTATATAATGTCTCTTATTTTCATGCATACATTGATTCTGTGCACCACGTGTCCTCAATTATTAAATCATAAAATAAATTAGGTTTTAATTTTGGATACTAGATTCTCAAGTTACCAACTTTTCTCATTTAAAAGATATTTGGTGGAAGATTTTACTAGCCCTCAAAATGTAATCAATACTTGCTGATCCTGCCAGTTTCTGCTCACCAACTCCCAGTGCTGCAGGACCTTTGTCATCCTGTATGATTACAGCTGCTCATACCATTTAGCAGACTGGGACATCCTGTAACTGTAACTGACACTTTTGATGGACAGCTTGACCTGTTACCAGAAGTGCAAAAATAATGGATCTACTGTCAAACTCTCAAAAACAAGCACTGCTTTTGACTGACAGCACCATATTTTTTATTTTGCCCATAGTTCTCTTTTAATTTTATCTAAAACTAAAATTAAAATCTCCAACCTACCCCATTTTGGATAAAGTACGGAATTTGTTTTGTGATCTGTGTGCAGCTGCAGAGAGTTTTCTTTACTTTCGATCTTATAAACACAACAGGAAATGAGATGAAATATTTTCACAGTTAGGGAAATGCCCTTTCAGACAATTGTAACTGGGACAACTCAAGTGCCCCCATTACAAGATTTCCACTTGATTGCTCTTCAGGTGACAATACAAAATTTTGTATTTTTCCCACTTTCAGTCTTTGTAACAATGGTCACCAGGACAAATAATGAGGGTGACCAGAGGGGACACAGACCACAATTAACAAAAAAAACTGACAGGGTTTCTAATCCTTCCTCACTATCTTCAAGATTAAAGTGTATTTTCACTTACTTTTACAGTCAAATTGGGATAACCCCTACTTTATAGTAGTTCCCATTCATATAGCTTAACTTAAAAATATTTAAATAGTTTTCTTACTGACTAATATATTTAAAAATGGCACATCCTAACCTTCTTAATGATCTAAAAGAGACCATAGAGTGGATGACCATAACTTTTCTACATCACAAAGAACAATGGTTGGGTAGCATTTATAATTTAGTGACACTTTGGGTAAAATTATTTCTGTTATGTATAACTTTTCATCATTCTAAACAATCAGCAATGCCTAGTTGCCTAGTATGCATTTTAGCTTATACAACTGTATAGTCAATGCATACAAGTTAATAAACCTGAATTCTTTAGCATATACAAATTTTAAACTAAACTTATCGAACCTAAATAAGGTTTTTTTCTATGTACTCATGATTTGCATGGAATAAAGACAGGAATCCACTTTAAAGAGTCACTAAACTCAGGAGTTGAACCTTAAAAAATAAATTCAAGAACTTTACCTGTTAACAAAATGTATCTTATTTGTGCATCACTCGCCTGTAGATCCTCAAATCCTCTCTGAATTGGTGCTGACACTGTCCTTGCTTCTGGAGGGTGGCTACTTTTGTTCCCCATGGTACCTGTGTGTGTTGTAAAGTAGCCACCACTCCAAGCTCGCTCCTGTGATGGACTACAATCTCAATTCAAATTAGTAAGCTAAACGTCACATTATAGTCCATTGCTCCAAGCTTGCTCCCATGTAGGACTACAATCTCAATACAAATTAGTAAACTAAATGTGAGATTGTAGCCCATCACAAGAGTGAGCTTGAAGTGGTGGCTACTTTACAACACACACAGGGACCATGGGAAACAAAATGAACCACCCTCCAGAAGGATGGTCAGCGTCAGCATGAATTCAGAGATGATTTGAGGATCTACAGCTGTGATACACAAATAAGATACATTTTTGTTAATAGTTAAGGTACTTGAATGCATTTTTAAGATTTAACTTCTGAGTTTAGTGTCACTTTAAACGGAAGCTGTCAGGACAGAAATATCAGAGATGCTGTTGCTTAATTGTTGTGCCTGCCTCCCTTGTCCATGCTTCTCTATTTAGTGAGTCAGTGACTCGGGACAAGCAGGCAGCCTGTGAAATGTCAACAGTACACCTGAGACATACATGCAGGTCAGTCATTCACCAAATAATGAATAAAGGTGAAAGTTTATACCTCCAGAACAAAAACATTCAAAAATAAGCCAGCAATGGATGCTCTTCACATATTTCCAACCTGACATTCCTCAAAATGAATAAATACAGAAATTGGTATATATTTTTTGCATTTCTCACCACACTTACGGAAACATTTTTATTTATCTTTTAAAGGGTCAGGCATGTACCAAAGAGCAATGTGACACAGAACAACAATAATAATACAGTGTCTTTTTACCAGCCAAATGAGGCCATCTTTCAACGGCATTTATCTGTTGGGCCGGAAGAGGATATATATACAGTTCTTAACCTGGCTGTGGCTGTAAGTAGGAACAATTAAGTTACCAATGTAAGATGTCATTCACAATATATTAATTAATTATTCAACAATTCAGATGTTTTTAGTACTATAAGCAGCACAATAATATTCTTATGCAAATTAAACACATTAATGTTAACATTAAACTACTGCTTACTTTCTCTTCATCCCTTCGAGGTACCACCACAAGGAAATAAGTTATGCTACATCCCTTCTGCACCCCTGTGTTCCCTGCTCATCCCCCTCCAGAGGCCCTGTTGTATTTTTTTTATATATACTTTCCTTTTCCAAATGTCTTCAGACTGGTCTTGTGATGGCCATGGTCCTCTTCCTTTCCTCCTGGCCATGGGTGGTCCTTAACAGTGCAGACATGGTCGGTGCAGGGAGACATGGTTACGCCACCTCAGGGGGCAGGTCCATAACACCCAGCACTCACAATATCACAATATATCCCAAGTAAGTATCATCCAACACAGAAGACTAAGGACATCTAGTGGCAGAATAAGATTACTTTTTAGGACAGTGCGGGGAGTAATACCGCCAGAGCTGTTTTTTTTTATTTTAAGCCCCTGGTGGTGGAATATTTTAGGCAGAACTCCAGAAAAAAAAATGCTTTTTTCAAGTCAAGCATGTTACCACTAATGATAATTAATCTGTGTTTGAAGCTCTACACTTTTCTGTAAAAATCCAAGCTTCACTGATGTCAGAAACTACTGTAAGTGCTCTTCTTTTAGTGTTGCACCTGGGAGCTGCCAGTCTAACACAGTGCAGAAACCCTGTTGTTCACCCATACAAGGCATCTTGTGAATGGATGAGGGGAAATGAAAGGCAGGTGAACAACAGGATCCATGCACTGTACAAGGCCCACAGCTCTCAGTCGTAGCACCAGAAGAAGATCACTAACAGTAGTCTCCATCATCAGTGGATCTGGAATTTTTACAATAAATGGCATACATCTACACATAGCATGATCATCATTAGAGATAACTTTGTAGCAAAAAAAGATTCCTAGAGTTCCACTTGCCCCAGGGAAGGCTAAAATTGCCCCAGTGTAAGGCTTAAAGCTAAATCTATTTGTTTAGAACCTTACGTCAAGAAGAAAAAGTAATTTTAACATTTTTTTTTGCTTATCTACATGCAGTTAGTGTTAACGAGGGTGTGGAGATGCCCTTGCACACTTGATACATAGGGGGTTACTCACTAAGCTGCCAAAGGCAGCCAAGTGAGTAACTGAGCCGAAGTGAAGTGAGCCAAACGCAATTCTGCTATTCACTTCAGCCGAGTATAGCTGATTTTAGCCGTACATCAGCCGGCTTCAGCTAAACATGCTCAGCAGAAGAACCCGTTCGACTCAGCCGATCCAACATCTGGATCAGCTAAGCCGAATGTCCAGCAGTTCACTCGCTGCCGTTCACCCCTATACTCCTGCATTGTTAGAGTGCTTTTCCAGGGGCCCCACCATAAAAGTACCCTGTCCCCATGCCGATGGGGACAAGGGCCTCCTCCACCACAACCCTGGCCTGGTGGTTGTGGGGGTCTGTGGGAAGAGATGGCTTATTTGCATCTGGGTAGCCCCTTTGATAAAGCGGGCACTCAGATGCTGCCCCCCTTGTGAATGAGTAAGTGGTACTTGTACCCCTACTCATTCACTAAAGGCTTAAATAAACCCTAAAGGGTCTGCAATTACTTTTGGGGGGAACCCCACACACTTTTTTTACTTTTTAACTTGAGGTCCCTCCTAACATTCCTACCAGACCTAAAGGGTTTGGTATGAATCAGGAGGGGGACTCCACGCTGTTTTTTGTTTTTTTTAATTGGTTTATTTTTGCAGTGAGAACCCCGCTTCAGCTGTGTGTTCGGCTCAGTCGAGCTGAAGCATATGCGTTCGGGTGCCTTTGGCTGCTGTACAGACTATTGTGAATAGCCTGTACAGCAGTCCTTCATTTGGCTAAACTGAAGGGCTCCGGTGGCAAAAGTGAGCCGAAGTATTAGCCAAAGCTACGGCTACTTCCTCCGGTTCATTAGTGAATAACTCCCATACATTCAGTTCTTCTTTAAGAACATCAAATTAATGATTTATTATTTATTGTAAATTTGTTTTTAACTGACTACCTACTATTATTTGTGCACAACAGGCTGCCCCGAGCATGTTTACAGGATTAGAAGGATTAATAAATGGTTTCATAAAGGCTTCCAACTCATCATTGTTTCAAGTCAGAAGTGTGAAAGAATTACTGTGGGGCTACAGAGATCCATTCTTGGAAAGAATACCAAATTTCATCCTCCAAGATAAAAACACTGGAGTGTTTTATCCGGTAAGTATAGAACTATTATGTCATGGGACATCAAAATTGTGGTAAAGCTGTAGGATGTAGATACAAGTTTAATATTCACCAAATATTTATTTGTGGTTCCTTGGACCAGTGAATCTATGTTAATTTCAAATAGACATCTTTAGTAAATCCTCCCCTTAATCTAGGGGCATAATTACAAATAATGGGGCCTCATTGCAAAGCTCTGGGGCCACCCAGCTAACTCTATAGCATCTGGCAGTGTTGACTGTGACAATACTTGACATTGATCTTAACATAAAGTATGTATCAAGCACAAGGGAGCTGCAAATATAGACAGTACACTTCAAGGGAGCAGAGCTGGGGATTTAAGTTATAGTAGCACGAATAATACAAATAATTATATTTTTATGATAACATATAACTAATGCTCACACACACATATACTCTTCAACCCTAATACTTCTCACTGCACAGAGGAGGATCTGTGGCTAGACAGTCCTGAGCTCTGACTTCAGTCCTTCTATGCTGGAAACCTCATAGTTTAATTTTTCCAATCAGTTCCCCTAATGGGGCCCCCTCCTACCCCAGGCCCCATAGCAGCCACATGGTTTGTTATGAATATTATTACACCACTGCCTTAATCTGTCAGTGAGGCAAAGAGACTCAAGTTAAAGAACCAGCTCAGGTCAATTTTTAAAGCTTTACATATCAATGTATATATTACTGTCTCTTATCAAAACTGTCAGCATGTTTGCCTTAGACACCGGTCTAACATTATTCATTAGCTAGATGCAATATAAAAACATTCTGGTTGTCTAATTTATCAACATTAAGCAGAAAATGTGTAATACACATGTCTAACTATCAACACATTAACAGAGACATACAGGGTTATTCATAAACATGTGCACCAGCAAAAAATTTGTTTAGTTTTGTTTTGAAAAAAAAAAAAATTGTTTAGTTTCGTTTCGTTTTGATTCGGACTTTGCATTATTTTGTTTTTCGGATTCGGACGAAATTCGTTAGCGGTAGTCCGGCCGAAATGCGTTTATGGACGAAATTCGTTATTGGACGAATTTCGTTGCAGCAAAATGACATTAAGGCGGGGGAATGACATTTTTTTTTTACAGTGTGCAGAAGATGGAAAAAAAAAAGCCTGAGGTTCCCCCCCAATTCATACCAGACCTTTTAGGTCTGGTAGGAATGTTAGGAGAATGCCAATTCAAAAGCAAAGAAAAAAAAACTTTATCCATTATTCTCCTTGCCCTGGATTAGAACCTGCGACCTTGACAATGGCAAACCTGTACTCTTACCACTGAACTTTGAACCATAGAATTGTTGTAGAGGGAAAATGTGGTAGTAGGTTTTGTAGGAGAAAATGAAAGTTTGTGCACGTTATAACACAAAAAAAGAGCCAAGGTGTCATCTGAAAAGAATTATGACACCTCGGCTCACAGACCTGAATAGCTGTAAGCTTCTCTGCACCTTAAAGCTTGGATCACAACTGCGGGGAAGCGAGAACGGTTCCCTCAGTGGTTGGTCTCGGGGATACTCTCTCAATTGATTAGAGATGTATATGAGACCAGTAACATCATTTAGAACCGTAGGAGATGGCGTAGTTATGCGGTAGTGCTAACCCCAAGTGCACCCTGCTAGGTGAAGGGTTGCCCCCAATGTATCGGTATCTGCAGCACTAGTCTGAAGAGCTAAGGATAGTTCCTCTTTGGTAGATGACAGGCAGTGTACACAGCAATGTTATTAGTATGGTTGCAGGTGTCGTCGCTTTAAGGAAAACACAGGAGTAGTATCATGTTGTATACTGGTAATGTCTCTGTAAGGTAGAGTGCTAAAGCCAGACACATAAACCCCCTTCTGTTACAGTCCATACAACCCCTTGTATAATGCCCAACAGGGCTAGTATGATACTTGCGGTTGGTGACAGGGGTCTCCCACAGATGGTATGGAAGCGGGGCTCCCCTCTAGAGAGCTGGATGATGTGGGTCCTGGTGGTGGTCGGCGGTCCCGGCTGTGTGGAGGTATGCAGGTTGTTGTGGTTCACTGACTTTAGCTCCGGTCGAGTGCAGATAGTGAACAGTCCGCGTTCACTGTTACAAACAGTTGGACGCCGACTGTTCGTATGATCGCGGCTTAAGGAGGCCGCGTCGCGTGCGCCGCGGGAGAAGCTGATGGACGCCGTGCG